ACTGCAAAACAGAAAGCCAAGTATTTGCATAAAATATACAAATCCAATTGATGTTTAATATGTTTAATGACATTTATTATAATAAACTCTTATTTGTGGTTTAATATGCTTATTAGAAAAAGAGTTTTAAATAGAAAAATGATAAAATTAATGGAATGAGATGTAAAAAGGTGATTACAATTGAATTAAATAGGTATTAGAAATTTGTATCAGAAAGGTAATATAGAGTAAATAAAGAAAGCCTACATCTACACAGGCGCCCTTTATTTTATTTAAATCATCTTTGAGAAAATCGTTTCATTTTCACTACTATTATAACCACACTTATATTATATAATAGACTTTTATTAAAACATATCACTATTAATTTTATATCATTCAAGCCCCTTTACTTATAAGACTGTCATTTTAAATTTGACTTTAGGAAAAGCTACTTCATAATTGAATATAAGAATTCCTCCAATATTACTACTCTCCATTACCTAACTATAGAACCTACATTAAGATACTTAATCATTATTAAATTCATAGAACCTAATCTAATATTTACAGGTTAGTATTCGGTGTACAAACTGACTCTATGCTTGTAGAGGTTTAAAAGTAACAATAACCTTGATTGAACACCAATTAATGAGGTTTTTAAGGATTAACTATAGATAAGGGACAAAGTAGAATTGATTGTATAGGAAAAAGCAACTTTGGGTGAGTTAGAATGAAAATTTTTAACAATGTTTAAAATATATTAAAATCAATTTTTACTGTAAAAAGTGATTCGACTTGTTCTTATTGAAAGTGAAAGAATTCAATTATTAAGAATCATTTTTAATTTGTATTAATTTTATGGATTTCTAAATAGTTATCCTCATATAATTCTTCATATTAATTAATAGATTTAAGAAATTTTGGATTAATTAAATAAACAAAAATAATTATGTAAACAAATACAGAAATTGAGAATAAAATTTGTTAAGTCCACAAATTAGAGATTGTAGCAGTCGATTTGAAATCCTAAACTAGAATTGATGACAAATATTTATGCACAAGATGCCTAGCCGAAAGAGTCGATAAAGAAAACATGGCATTGCTTAATGAAGCTACTGAGATGATTTAAAGCATGAAAACCTAATCTTTGAAAATTGCAAAAGAAGAAAATGTCCTTCGATTAACTAATTTAAAATAATTATAATCCTCGATAAAATCATTCAAAAACTAAATCAAATCAGAACTTGGAAAATTGCTTCAATTAATTGATCAATAAATGGAATAAATCCAAATTGAAATTGAATCAAAAGAATCAAAGTTAGAAATCAAAAATTACGATGAGGAAATTCAAATTCTATCAAGAAATTATATAGGAAATTTTAATTACAATATACCCAAATAACTATGTTACAAGGAAAAAGACCTAGCCCTAGTCTAATTAATCCAAGAATCAATTGAATCTTAGTCTAAATCATAATATTTTATCCAAATTATGGAATCCATAAATTTAATAAGATCTAGTGAACCAATTAACCAATAAGCAAATATTAACTAAATACCTACAAAGGAATTTGATTAACATGTAATTTATGATAATAATATTAGAAAACTCCTTGTCTTAATTAGATATGCAATAAGCATAACAAAGAAATAATTATGCTAAATGTTAATTATAACGAACCTAAATTCAGTCGATTAGCATGTGTAGAATGTATTGAGGAAAACCCTATTCAATATATTAGCTTAAAGGAAGCTAATAAAATGCTTAATACCTTTATTGGGTAATCAGAAGATTTAATTTCTAAATATAATTTTAGAAGAGAAAAAACAATTAATATGGTTAACGAAGAAATTAAATAACTAAAAGATTATTATAACCAATCATTATCAGAAATGCTGTCATCGATAGACGAACAGCTCATCAAAACTAATTAAGAGTTTTAAGATTACCTTAAATTAGAGAATAAATAAATATTTGAATTAGATGAAAAATAGGTTGAAAGGATGATTGATTTATTAAGCCAATAGGACAAGAATAAACATATCATTTAACAATAGGAGAAGTAAAACAGACTTGATTAATTATTTTACCAGAGTATAAAATCAAAATTAGAAGGCCTTATCAAACATGATTTACTTTGTAAATAGTAATTGATGATAATTTTGTAGGAATAATAAGGTATTTGATTTATTAGCCTTTAGATAGTTAAGAAAGAGTAAATAATGTTCAAGATGATGTAAAAATTAGTCCTTAAATAACTGAGTTCATGTCAAAATGTTAACTATAGGAGCAATATTTATAAATATTTAGTGAATCAGTTGATTTTTAACTAGAGTTATAGAAAGAAGCATAATAACTAGAATTAAAAGGCTAACTTGAATAATT